TTTCTATAATAATAAACCAAACAGGGATTGAATAAAGAATTGTTAAGATAAACTTGATGCTCACTCGGCTTGGTAATTTTCAATCCATCTTGATCACATATGCCATGATGAGATTTGTTTTTTCTTCCAAATTTTACAGACATTTTTCTGTATGGCTTGAAATAGTGAGCTAGGGGAATCCAGACAATGGTTATTATAAGTATTTTTTCACCGGACTTAGATCCAGAACTTGAATTATACGTTGTTAAATAATTCATATTATATAAGTCCTGTAAAAAATATACTTAAATAGCCACGGCTTGGTTTTCCTTGGCGTCACTTAAATGTAATAGTTAGGCCTAATAACACACTTTAAGATTACTGGATAGAATTCACAAATGCCACGATGTCCATCCGACGACGTTTCTATTCCTCTATATTCAGTAATAACCGTACTCGGGAAAACCTTTCAACACCCGGTTGCTAGTTTAGGAATAGAGTATGTTGCACATTTCAATAGCCACGCAAACGCGGGGCTACCTTCTGAGATCATCAACCAAAGCCGAGTGAAAAAGACGTTTATTAACCTGTTATGAATTTTTGGTAAGCAAAAGTCCTAACCTTTTATACTCCCTAAGTGTCGGGTTCTCCGTCCCAGTAATATAAGCAGCAAAATGTTTGTTTTCTCATTATTCCGTTAAAAAATAGATGTTTCAGCTTTCTTCCGACTGATACGACATAACAAAATATTTGCGAACAAGAATTTTTTCCTCGCTTTTTAACATCGTGGTGATAAACATGATAATCAAAGATCACACGTGACATGTCTTTACAATTCAATTTATTGCTACTGTATTCAATATATTGCGCACTATATCTTGGCAGGTGACGAAAATGTTGTATTTTCAAATGTCAAGACTCGCTTTATTAATAAAAATAAATACAAAATCGAAGTAGTTTGTTTTATCAACTCAATGAAATCCATACTAATTTTTTGCAAGTGAAAAATATCCATACAATTCACGGTCTCTATTTTCGGCAAGAATCTTCCCTATATCATACTGTGCATTTCAGGTGATCGGTTCACACGAAGAAGTTTTCGTCCTCTATGCTTTTACCGTAATTATTTGAATTCCATCCTGAAGAGCATTTCAATAATTGAAATAATAAGCTCATTCTCCACAATATTCACAGAAACCCACTCACCCTTTATATTATTTTCTGTACCTTTTAAATAAAAAAAGCGTTCTAACACAATTCAGAAAGAAACATTATTATATCCTGGAATAATTGATTTCTTGCCGTCTGGTCTGAAACATTATCTCTGACAGTAATTTCTTGACCACTTTTTTCGAACTTTTTTTCCATATGAATGGAATGTAACCCCTTTTTGTTTCGTTTGTCCCATCATACCAACTAGCCTTCTTCTTACTCACCGAGACCAAGAAATGTACTAGGCTATTTTGCAACGTCAGCAACAAGTCGTTCCTTTTTGATTTTCCCGACATCACAATTGGATTCTGCAATGAGTTTAACCTTTTCTTTATCACTCTGCTCTAAATTTGCAAGTCTGGTCCCATCGCCTTCATAACCTGCCTTAGCTTATCAGAATCAAGTTCGGATTGCATACTCAATAACACCTTTCATGTAGAACGAGATTTATTTGAATACATTTGCCCAAGTGGAACTTTAGGTCTCACTTTTTTTTCACCATTCTCTATTTTGTATAGTAATAAATTACATGATTTAAATGATACATAAACTTGTTATACAAAGTGAAATGGCGTTTCTATACGTACTAATGCCTACAGGCTCGATTTTATGCCTTGTACGTCATTGGGTATAATTCCGCTGGATGTTAGATAGAGTCCAAAACTTTTACTAATTCTCTAATTCTTCTAATTCTTACTCAGTTTACCTGAGAATCTGGGTTGAATGGACCCCTGCCATACTTATGCTGTATATTGTGGTCTATTATTATGTATATTATTTTGTAAACCAGAAATCTATTGAAATATAAATATAATTATTTTCGTTTTCTAGTTGCCGGTTTGCATTATATTTTTCATTTACGTAAATCAACCATCATAGCAGCATTAATATTCTCAATTGCGAAATTTTTTCTCAATCTTATTATCTCATTTTAATGTTAGTTGAAAGAATTTAAATGCCTATAACTTTCGTTAGTACTCTTTATCCTTCACAAAAATTATTTGATTGTCCCTGATTGTTTGGAAGAAATTTATATCAAATGCATCATCATCCATTCTTGTATCTGTGGGAAATGGGTTCGTCATTTTTTTATCTTTCGCGTTAATCTGCCAAGTTCTTTTCTCGTGTCTTGAAATATTCTCTTCATATTTAACAATTTTTCGGTACCGATACACTTGCTTAATTTCCTTGAGAGTCAATCTCGGTTGTTTAATTCCCTCGCATTTTTCTAACCTCGAAAAAATGCATTATAGACCACAGGGTGTTATCATGAGACTTCCGGAAAAAAAAAATCGCTCAATGCATGTAGAAAGGTCATTAGCTGATGTAAGAAATTGGTTAGATAATCAGGCCCTGCATTAAATTTATTCCTTTTGCTAGTTTTAGGAAGTCACTCATGCCGATATGTCGAACTCATATGTTTTGCCTTGTATAGATGTAGCTTATCGATATAAAAGAACTATGTAAAAGCAATAGGAACTTCACTAGGTATACTAACTTCAGCTATAGTTACTGATGCTTTTGAAAAAATTTATTAATAATTCAGATAAATCTTTTTACGTGGAATAAGATAAAATTGTTAATTACGGGTAAAGGTTCTGAATTTAAAAGAAAATTTAAAAATTTCATAAAAGCTGAGTCTAATAATACAGTGGATCTTATTGAGGTTCTAATCAGATTTTGGGTAAAAAATCGTTTCCAATTCAAGATGCACATGAATTGCTATTTTCTATACCTCAAGATCGTAAATTTAAAAAAAAAAAACTTTTTTCGTACACTAATTTGTATATCGAATAATTAATCGGAATGGCATCCGTTGAAGCTGCAAAAAAGAATGAATGCTCAAACAATAATATTTTTAAACCGCGGATTCTCAAATCCACCTTCCATTTTGATGCTTTATGGTTTATTTGTAGAAAAGTCAATCCTTCATTATATTCCCATTCTCAACTTTGCAACACTTCTCAGCTAGATTACAAGCTTAACCTATAATCTGCGTTAACATTTTACCCGTTGCATATCGCGATCCTCGATCAAACCGCTTGGCCCTGTGTCACATCATCACGAGAACCCGGATCTTGTGTGTCCGAAATTGCACCGTAAGATGGAGTTGTTTGATGGTTATCACCGAGGAGGGTTTCTATTCGCAATTTTTCGTAATTTAAAACTGCGATAAAAATGATTATCTACTCGGAAGGAAAGGAGTTTGTCAAACAAATATCCAACATATGCATCAATAACCGAGATTTCTTTTTACAAACCTCCGTCCAACGAACATATCTCAAAGTTTGCAATGCCGATAGCATGCTATTCAATATATCTACGATACACTCTAAGACGTCTATCTCTGTCCCATTTTCACCAACCTTTAACTCACAGTATTTCTGGACCTCATCATAAATCGCGTCGACATCGGTAAAAGTGTTGATTATTATTGTTACAAAGATCACGAACGATCCGGCATAAGACAGTGTTCCTACATAATTTGATTGTACGTGTTATCTCCAAATAAAAAAGAAGATTGGTGGGAATATTGCCAACCTTGTAATTTGTAATTATTAGTAATCAAGCTGGCGAATATTAAGAACATAATGATGCTCATAATAAAACATGAAATGGCATTTGTTATGCCGATATAAAAGAAATTGAAGAGAGGGAAAGCAATATTGAAGATCTGTGATGTCAGCAAGAAAATATGAGCTTCCGAAAAAGTTGTCAGCACTTTTTTGAAAAATGAGAACTTACGATCCCTAGACCAACAAGAACGAAAAGAATCGCCCTAGATGAGGCAAATGATGCATAGTATGTAACAGTTCAAGGAGAGACTCACTCATAATTTATTACGTTCCTTCCTGCCTACCTAAAAATGCAGAACAAATGATAATTCATGGTGAAAACTAGAACCCTCCGTTAAAAAGATGGTAGCAAATCGAAAATGAGGTACGCGAAGGCATCATGTTATTTTTATATGAGCATGCGCTCCAAAATATTTTCCAAAATTTTTGGAATAACTGCAATGGGATACAAGTTACACCGAATGGTAAAATGAGTTGGCCAGGAAAGCCCTTCACATGCAGATTAACCTCTTGCCGATTTTTCTCAAATTAAATAAGTCTTTAAAATTTTATTGCTTCCTTTTTTAGATACTGTATGAACACGGTTAACAAAAAACAAAATTTCATTGCTTCCTTTTTTAGATACTGTATGAACACGATTAACAAAAAATCGACATTTTTTTTTTTTTGTAAATTTTTCCCATATTGAATATGGAAATGAACTGAAATAACGAAAAACAAAGAACAATTGACATTAATCTTGCCTGTTCTAAAATATCAGCTGCAATGAACTTTCTTACACAACAGATCTGTCAAGAAAAACAAGTTATCCGTGGATACGCAACGCGGTCTCGTATTACGTAATAACGACGCCGAGATGATGGAAAAATCAAGTAGATTACGTAATTATCGTAAGGCGAAAAGGGTAAACACGTTAGTAGTAGTATAAATTGGATAGTGAAAATAATTAGACGGAGACCGCTGTAACAGCATAACATAATGTCACGTTATCTTTAAACTTTTAAAAATAAAGTTATATTGTGAATCAGAGCTTGGTTAGATTAGGATTTAGCGAGACAATTCAAAATCACCTCTATAGTAGAAAAACCTTAAAGTACTTATCCTGATCATATATTTATGTTTTTACAAAGAAAAACTTATTATAATGAATTAAAGAAAAAAATTAAAGAAATATTATAAATCAAATTTATAATGATCTTAAATTCATTTTATTCAATCACAACAAATCATGTAAACAAATTATATATACGCTTTACAGTATACATTTTTACCTATATTTTTTGCAAGTCTTGAAAAACCGAAAAAACTTTTTTTTATTAAAAAAAAGTTCGAAATTCCGAATAATACGAATCGATAAAAAAAATCTGTTGAATATAAAAACCAACCATAAATTTTTACAATGAGTCAAAGAAATTACATTAAAAATTTTTTTTTCAAAATCAATGAAATCCAAAATTAATTTATCAAAAATAATTTTTAAAGACATTTTAATAAACTAATTTATATTATATTTAATGTATTATCCAATAATATTTTTTTTATGCTATTGTCTAAATAAAAACACTAAAAAACATACAGTACTTAATTAGTTTAACATTATAGAAAAAATAAAAATTAAAATTAATTTTAGTCTTTATAATTTCAAAAAAAAAATAATTAATATACAGTATATTAAAAAAATCTATTGTTATTAATTTTTATTAAATTTATTTGTTAAAATAATAATTTTTTTTTCTATTATATTTTTTTGAAAATTTTATAATCAATAATTTTAATTTTAATAACAGTAACAAAAAATTTTTTTACTTCTAAATATCATTTACAATAGATTAATAATTTATACAAGTTTATAAATTTTTAATGTTGTTAATTATAACTCTTATAGTCTTAAAATCATCAAATATATTTAATAAACTTATTAAAAATCTATTTAATACTAAGTACAATAATATTTTTAAATTCAATATATCTTTATTAACTATATTTAAATAATCAAATTTATATTAATATTTTAGATAATTTTTAAATCAAAAATATTTTATATATTTTTAATTATTTCTTAAAATATATAATTTGAATTATAAATATTATTATTAAAAAAAATTTTTTTTTATTATGCAAGTATAAAAACAAAAAAATTAATATAATATAATAATAATATTATTATTATAATTATACACCATTTTTACTTCCAGGCACATTGTTTATTCAATTGGCTGTTTAAGAGTTCGCCTATTTGTGTAATGACCGCGGTTGTTAGCATGGACTAATTCTTTGCACGATAATAATTTAAAGTTTATTATTTACTTGTAACTTGAGGCGTGGTCATCTAAGCGAGAATTAAGATGAGCACTGGCTAATAGGTTGTCTGCAATATTATGCTAATTGTTGTATTGACTTGCTTCGTCTTATCCCTATTTTATAGGTTTTGAAGGTTCCGCCAAATTGTAACCCGACCCTGATATCGGGAATGCCATTATACAGGTAAGCTGATGTATTTAATGCCTCCTCTTTGTCTTATTCTATTATATTCTTGCATGGACAAATGACAAAACGCAACTTTTGGACTGCTTCATTTTTTCACACTTTCTAAAATTCATTCGATCTGGATATTTATCATGCAGCGTTGGGAATAGGGATTTATTCGTTCTTACCGTCTCACTTGCTGATAGGTTCCCTAGATCGTTGTGTTTTGCATTCCTCATTCTTAGAGGGATTCTGGGCTCGTCATTGATATTTTATTTGAATTATGTCATTGAATGCTAGGTAATGGTGTTATTTATATATAATAATTGGCCAATCATAATGCGCATAATTTTGTGCTACCGTTCATCAAATTTGGATGTCCATCACCATCAATCAGCACGAGTAATTTTCGACGCGACTTCTTTGCTTACAATGTCCAAAAAATATGCTGATTACTTTCGCAAAACGTTACCAGAAAATTACAGTTTTCTTGGTTTCTATAAATATCGCTATCAGCAATCTGACTTTACCTTTTCATACCAAAAGGAGTCCCGCAAACTTAGTAGCGATCTCGAGGAATTAACGAGTGAAGATTCAGAAGTAGTTAAAGCTTATGCGAGCCGATTGCTAAAAGATCATAAGGTTGTTTCTTTCCTTTATTTATGCTGAGGGGTTCCAGCGTGGTTATGCGACTAAGAGGGACACCTGCGTTTGACCCTCTGAAGATCTGCGTTTCGTCGTGTATCACAGGTTCTTTCTTGTGCACACAACTACGGTGAATATCTGCGATTATTCACTTTATGGTCTGCGTTCCGTTGTGTGCCCGTTGTGTACCCTTAATTATAATCAGTTTTATTTATTACTACTTTAACTATTATACTTACTCTATTGATCCTTAGAATCAACGTGAAAAATATCCTGATGTTCAAATGTTTTGGAATAACATAGAATCATCTGTCGCTAATTCAAGTCTAAAACTAGATAAGGTCTTATTACATTATCATTCTTTGAGTTCCTATTCCAATTCAGACTTTTATTGACTAAATATCCTGATTAGGTAAAGACAGCTCGAACAGTAATGAATGGCACCAAGAGGTTGATCAAAACCGCCCTCGACGAAATTGATAGCACACTGAAAACTGATGTCTCTAATAATGGATCGGTATATTTATATATGTTCTTTTTTTGTGCCACTTGCCCTGCACCTATTCTGCTCCCTATTTACTACATCACTCACGAATGAATGTGAATTTCAAAGAATGGAAGGAAACGACCAGCCGAAGAAGCTTCCCTTGTTACTACACCTCCCAACCTTCGCGATCGCTTTACTCTTCCATCTTATAAAAGTGGTGATTATTCTTTTGATGATTATAACGAAGAATCATCCGAAAGTCATCCTGATGTTGATAAAGACGTCAAAACAAAGTCCAGCAAGCGTAAGTCAAAGAAAGTTACTGGAAGCAAGATTTCAACCAAGGGAAAATCAAGTGACCAGAGCATTGTTGTTGACGCTGGCCGGTCAACCAGTGTTTCCCCTATGAATGTACAAGTATCCGCTATGTCCAACCCCAATGATGTGAACGGAACAGAAGACGCGGTCACTGATGCTGAACAAACCACCTGCGATGAATCTGAATTAGCCATCGAAGAAAACACTAAAGAAAAGACGGAAAAAGTAAGTTTTTCGAGTAATCGACCTCAATTAGCAAGATCTAAACATTAATCAATTAATATTTATCAGTCAAAAACGATACTCTCATGGGAACACGTAGTTGATAAAATAAAAATTTCTGATAAATCGAATCATGATGTAATTATTGGAATACTATTTTGTCACAATATATTAGTAACTTTTTTACATAAAAATAATGTTTATTCGTCGTTTTTTTACTTATAGTGGTTAGTTGATGGATACAATATTTCGAAAGATTTTCGTGACTTTCAAATAAATACGGTTGAACGATTAAATAATAATCCGACACTTTCTTATGCGACTGAGGTTGATGAAATCTTGTAAGCATTGTTACACTAATTGGTCGAATTGTCGTCAATATTTAACTTTTATGCATAATGCAGGTGTCTCTCGTTTATATTTTATGTAAAAGAGGAAATGCCGAAATATATAAATTGTACTAGTCAAGTCTGGAAGGACGCATTGCATAGACCTCTAACTCCCGCGACTTTACCGATTAGTGTTCAACTTATTATAATGGAATATAATACAGTAAGTTCTACCGGATATTGAGAGCATTATAATTACTAGTGATTAATGATAATTTGTTCTTAGCTCTTAACGGATAGAAAGGTTTTAAGAGAAAAGTGGCGCCAAAATTGGGCCAAATATGATGCATCGATGACCGAAAAAGAAGTCAATATTTTTGAATGTGTACAACTCGTAACTAGGAACTTGTATGTGGAGATTTGTGCTGTGTTATCTTTGTTTGCATTATTAATGATACCTATAATTATCCTGGCACTTCTGCAGTTTTTTGAATATATCATCGTTAAACAGCACAGGTAATAATATAATGGATGAAGACACTTTCGTTCACAGATATTGCCACTTAATGTTGGAAGAAATCTTTAATGTGACGAATTATAAACTTTTCTGGTGAGTTTTTATACAATTACGTTGTACATTACTAATGTAAATGTTTTATCTAACTGTATTAGTATAAATAAATCAGGGCAAATGGAGAATCAAGTAGCTCAAAGGAACGACGAAAATCTGATGGTAAAAAGAATGGACGGAAACCAGATTTTCGATTAATTTTTGAAGAAAAAAACGAAATTATCTTTGGAGAAATTAAACCGCCTTGTGCTGCAAATAATGTAATAAACCATGCTTTGGTCAAACTTGGCGAATTCATGAAAGGTTCACTAGATTCTCTACATGAACAATATGGATACTCTCAATATTCGGAAACATTTGGAATCATCATTAAAGGTTAGCTTATCATTATCAAAATTACTAAAGCCTAATACCAACTAACTAGATGTAAACTTAACAGGATGTCAAGTCGAGCTATTTGGCATGGACCTTGCATTTGATGGATTATACCGTTTCAAAAAGATTGGAAGGGCATTATTACCTACCGAAGATGCTAATTTTTTAAATATAGTTTCTGTTATCTCGAACTTTTATAGTTTGTTGGTAAGAATCTTTTATTATATTTCTCAAGCAAGTTGTTACATAGTGTATTTATTAATTATTTCTTTTATTCAGGAAAAAGCTGATCGTTCGATTGCAGAATTGAATAGACCGTCTACTCCCACTGGTCAGTCATACCATAGAGAATCGAATTCATCTCCTCACAAAGTTCATATCCCGGTTTTAAAAATTCTGCCTTCTGCGTCACCCGATTAAGAAACCGTATATTATATTTATATAGTATCTTATTGGTTTAAGTGTCTTGTTTTAATCATGTTATCTCCATGGGGTATGTGTGATGTATCGGAATAATAACCAAAAATAGCACTTCGCCATATTATTCTTCTGAGATCGAAAAATATTTCTTGCGCGTGCATATAGTCCTCCAATCTGTTTATAATCGAATAAAAATTAATAGATTATAATTCATTAAAATAAATATAAATCACTAAACAAAACCGTAAATCGTTATTTATTGCTTAATTGCTTATAAGGATGGATTTAAAAAGTAAAAGCAATTCTAAGCTTTGTAATTCTTTTAAGAGAAAAACTAATAATGAAATATGCTTTTTTATTAATGATTTATTTAGAAAAATATTTGAAGAGAACTTGGAAATTTTTTCATGAATATATTGGGATGTATAAAAAAATTTGACACTAGAAGCGAAGCGATATTGAAAGATTCTATTTGAGAGAAATTTTAACGAATTATATAATGTAAAAAAAAGTATTGCATATTTTAAATTATTATTATATGAAAATGTAGATAATAATTTATTTAAAATTTTAATATGTTATATATATTAGAAAAAACACAGGTATAATTTAAATGTTTTTCAACAGGTACACATTAAATCATTAAATTATACATGTATATACTACTGTAAATACAATTATTTATTTAATATTTTTAATTTCAAAAATTTTTATTTAATAAAAAGTCAATGTGATAAAAATTATTGGGATAATGATCCTTATTGAAAATTTCAAATTCATAAGACGGTTGTTTTTTATACAATTAAAAATTTTCTCTCTTATTAAAAATAATTTCATTACTTTTTCTATTATCAAATATTTCAAATTATTGATTTATAAAGATATTTTTGAAAAAATTGTTTTAATTAATTTCTTTTAAATCAATAGTCCGTAAGTATAAAGTTTTTATTATATTCAAATACTTATCAAAACAATATTAATAATTTACTATAAATATCTAAATTGTTAAAAAATAATTAAAATATTAATAGAACCTGATTTTATATTTTTTATTTATATTTTTTATTTATATAATTTCAAATTAATATTTTAAATTAATTATATTGTAATATAAATTTTTTTTGCAAAAATAATATTGTATCAAGTTTTAATTTAATAGTAATTAAAAATTACAAACTTTTAAAATTTTTAATATATAGTATATTATTTAAATTAATGTATTTAAAAATTTTATTATTGAAAAACTAATAAAAAAATTTTTAATATCATTTAATAATAAAAACCAATGTTTTAATAATATATAAAATTTTTTTTAAAAAATAAATTTTAAATTATTAAAACAAATATATTAATTTTTTTTTTTTTTTACTTCTAATCAAGCCATATACCTATATTTATTAAATTTAAACTCTTGAATTGAAAGTATCTTAGTATAAATATTACATGATATATTATAAGGTTAAACTTATTAATACTATATAGTATACCTATTAATAGTCAATAGCCTTTAAATGTAATTAAAGAAAATAAAAAAAAATTGTTCAATTAAAAAAAAACATTTTTTGTCTAATCAAAATATCACAGTTAACTCTTTATTAAAACTGTTATTTCAACTAAACTTTTATAGTCCTAAGATATAAAAAATTTTTATTTTTTAAGAAGATAAAAGAGAAAAATAAAAGGGAAAGTAAAAGAGGAAAAAAAATTTATACTTGTAAAATAAAAACTTATCTAAATTAATCATTAGTCTAATAAGAACTTTCTTTAATCTTGAAGAGAAAAAAAACTGACATAAGAGAAAAAAGAAAAGACTTCAAGTTACTTTTTATTAATAAAATACTTCAACATCTTGCTTTTTTGCCATATTTAGGGTTTTGATCAGTATCGGTAAATATCATTACCAATTTATCAGTTTCGATATTGGTATTAATTTTTAAGTTTAAATATCAAATCAAAATTTTCAGTAAAATACTAATCAGTTTCGGTACTTTTTTAAAAGTACCAATCGGTAAAGTATCGGTTAATAAAATATTAATTAGTTTTGGTATTTTTTAAAAGTAACAATAAATATTAAATAAAGATTTTTAATAGATGTTACATCAAATTATTAATATATAAATGTATTATAAAGAAAATTATTTTATTGTTATTAACTATTTTTTTAAAATGAAAGGATTCAATACTTACATTGAGTTTCTGGAAGAAATCATTTTTACAAATTTTGAACATGAAAGATTTTCAAAATAGTTTTGATAGTAATGAAATGTTAGATATCGAAATAGCTAGTATTTCAACAAATAGCAATTCTAAAAAATATCAAAGCTAGGTTTGGATCCATTTTACTTTTAATAAAAATTTACAAAAACCCCAATACAATTATTATAATCAATTTATTCAATCAAATAAAGGCAGTACTATTGGTATAACCAAACATATTCAAAATAAATATCCTTTATGACTTGAAGAAAACAAACAACAATTAATATTAGAAGAAACAATACAAAATAAATTAGTTTCGGTAAGTTATATTACTTATAAAATAGATTATAGTTAATGACCTTTCTTTTACAAGTGTTGAATCTTCTGAATTTAAAAATATGATATTTATTTTACAAAATGGAACTCCAGTTTCTTTAGCCAATATAGTTAAAAATAATATAATAATATTTTTTAATGAAAATAAAAAAAAAATATAACAATTTTTACAAATAATTATATTATATTTAATAAACAAAAATTTATTGAAATTATATTTATATTTATATTTTTTATAGAAAATACAAGTAAAATTTCTTTTCTATCGATACTTAGATCTTATTAAATAATTTGCCTTTTTTGAAAATTACAATACACTGGATTTCTGAGGATTAGAAATTAAAAAATTTGTTTTTAGTTTTTATTAAACTCAAAAGATTACATTTAGATAATAATATTACTAAAAGTTTTTTAAAAAGTCTTAATAAATATAATATTTTAAATAAAGTAAGTTATATTTTATATTCAAATAAACAAATATATT